CTCTTTTTCAACATTAATTGAGTGTGGCCGTGTTTGTGCAGAAGCTCTCTCAATATTGTCACCTGGTCATACGTGCAGTAGGATCAATGTTTTTGTAGTTTTCTGAAGGGACAATTCATCTCAGCTGTTGGGCCTCAAATGTTACTGCCTTCTTTACAGCTCAGGACAAGCTTCCAGTGGTTCCTTCAAAAATCAGAAAACTCCTAGATGCTAACCCTGAATGAACACTAAGCTACCTGTTAATGCCTTTCTCCAGCTGGTCTCCACTCCAGTAGAGTAGAAACTCTATATAATTTATACTTACTATTTTTATTTATAATATATATATCTGTATAATATATATATCTGTATAATACAATTTAAAAATATCCAAATATATGCTTACAGCAACACGCAGATTTCTGTATTCTTCAACAGGAAGAACAATGTTTCAGCTTTAAAATCAATGCTTGGCACTGTTTGTAATAAAGTTTGACCCAGGCCTGGGCTCTGTTTTCATTCTGCAAACACAGCAGATAAACAACTGCCCTGGGTTGTGCACTGCCACTGTGCTCAGCAAAAAACACCTTGTGTTCTGCACAGTCAGACTGTGAAATTCTGACTGTCTCTAACTTTTGTGTTTCTGTAATGTGCCCTTGATTTGTTTTATTCCTGTAAGCATCTTTTCTTCTTTAAAGAAATTTCTGAATCTCACCTAACTTTAAATTAGAGATGAGGAAAGTAAGAGCTATAAAGAAAACTGAAAAGCCAATACCTTGGGGAACATTCTGGTGACATATATTACTAGAATAACATAAATCATTACAGAAAGAAATTAAATGTTCGCCAGCAGCTTATTTCTTAAATTTTAACATGTGATAAATAATATTGCAAGGCTTAGGTAATTCACAGCAATAACCATACAACAATATTCTATATTACTTCTACCTAAGATGACATCAGTCTTGGAATTCCAGACTTTTAGTGACAGTTTTTCAGATCTGTCTGTTCCTTTGATGAGGGATGGAGAAAACCTTATGTGCAGATCCATATAGCAATGAACTTTCCAAGCCAAACACAAGAGCAGAAATGTTTCTATGGATGAGTAGCTTGCCAAGACAAACAAGTTCTGCCAACATTTTAACACCACAGAAGGTCAGTTAGATTATAATTAAATCTAATTACCATTTTCATGAATTGCAACATCTTTTCATTTGAAGGCACTTTAATGCTCAGAGAAAAGGATGAATTTTTATTTTATATTCTCCAAGAATCAAAGTAATGAGACATTCTAATCTTGCCTTTAAACCTGAATCATCACTTACCATCAGAAAGAAAAAAAGCATCATCAGAAGGAAGAGATTTGTGCAGTTTACCAAACACTAATACTTCCTCACTCCTGCTTTTCCCTACTCATCTACAGTAATTTTACAGGGTTGTTTTCTCTTTTGTTCAGTATCCCTCCAATGTGTTTTTTTTCATGATTTCACAATTTCTTGTTTTCCTTCTCATCATTTTATAACCTTTCTGCTTCCCTTTTTACTTTAGCTATGTGGTTTTGATCTTCTCTGTATCTTCAGACCTCCCTCTCTGCTGCCCCAGCAAGTGGGAGGATCTGACAGCAAGAGACTTCCCTGTTTCCACAGTCATGCTGTGGTTGCTGTGCTAGACAGAACTGCACTGGGAAACTGCCTGAGCTTATCTCAGCATGGGAAAAGGTGAGATAAAAACTGGTGAAGCAAAGACATTTTAGTTCTCTCCACTTCCTATTCCCACAGGCCAACAGAAGGTGAGAGAGCTAAAAAAAACAGGAACCATTTGGTTTCTTCTCTGTTGAGCGTGCAAAATGTGGTGCCTGTCCTGGTCTCACTCAAATGAGGAAACAGCTGGAAAGCCTGGGCTGCCTAAGTCACCCAGGTCACAGGGGAATCCCTTCAGCACCCTGAGGTCCAGCTGCAAGCAGCAGTTTGGTAGTTGGCATCAGCTGCTGTTCCATGTGGCCACCTCACATGCATAGAACCATAAAATCATAGACTGGTTTGGGTTGCAAGGGACCTTAAAGATCGTCTAGTTCAGCCTTCCCACATGGGCAGGAACACCAACTAGACTAGGGGCCCAAGCCCCACCCAACCAGGCCTCAAACACTTACAGGGAGGGGGCTTCCTGGGAAACCTGTGCCAGTCTTTGTGGGCAAAAAAAGCCTCTCAGTTACCAGGACAGTCCTCCAGCACCAGGATAATTTGACCTCTCTGGAGGCTGCCAAAGCATCAAGGACGATTTGTTTCCAGACTCAGCTAACAAACCTAGAAAAGCAGAAGAACTGGTCAGCTTGCAGCACGCTGCACCCAGCAGTGGGGAAGGTCACAAAGCCCCCAGCAGTCCCCAGCAGCAGGGACACCCAGCAGCAGAGCTTTCAAAGCCACCACAGCTTTCTGTGCCATGTCCCCCTGAGCAGAGCTGGGCTCTGCTGCTCTCAGAGGTGCCAGGACAGGTAGCAGCATTTAGCTGTCCTGCCCCCCCACACTGCCCCTTTACTGCCTCCTCATCAGTGCTCTCTTCATTAACTTGTTCTGACTTAAAGGATGAGGCACATCTCTGTGAAAGTCACCTTGTGCCTCAGTAAAGAGAGCAGAGCTGCCTGTGGGCTGCCCTGCCACTTCCGTTTGGTTTTTCCCATGGCACATACAAGGCTATTGCAGAAGCAGGGATGCCCAGGCACAGGACCCCCTAACCGCACAGGAACTAACTGTATTTAATTCCTCCAAATAACATTTTGCTATTTTCCTGTGACCTTACTGCCTGAAACAGAAATGTGTTCTCCTGGTGAAGAATTTCACACACAGAGAAGATGATTCTGCACTCTGAGGGAACTACTGCCTCTGAAAATCTGTATGTCCTACAAAATCAGTCAGATTTTCCCTTGCATGTGAAAAAAAATATAAAAAAACCTTTCACTGAATATTAACATTTTACTTTTAAAGTTATCTAACCAAATTTCACTAAAACAAATTCAATATTTTCCTGTCCAAGGCTAAAGCCTCAGACAGTTGTGCTCTCATCCTGTGAATAGTTTCTTAATAAATAAGACCAAGAGTTTTAGTTATCCTATGGTACTTCAAGTTCCACCTGTCCTACAGGAGATTCACGAGTCATCAGGGAATTCAGATGCCACCTCACTTAGGAACTCTTATGTCACGTAAGGCTTTTTGTTGTAGGTGGGGCAATAAACCCACAGCACCTTTTTGTTGACTTCCAATTATATTAATCTCTTGTATAGATAAGATTAACTTCTCCTCCCACATATTATTCATACCTGCAGCCCTAGAAAAATACACATAGGCTGAAATCCCTGACCCCCTGAAATTGCTGGGGGTTTTGCAATGGGCTTCCAGAGCTTGGGTTTTAGTTTCTATCCCCCAGCTAATATATTACTTCTCTAAGTAATTTCAATCCAGTTGTTTCTTTTTCCAGTCTTGCTGGGTTGGAAAAACATCTGAGGTGTAAAGAGGACTAAGCTATTTTTCTGTAATTTTCAAGGGTGCAAGATGGACCCAGCCCATTTGGGGTTAGAAGGGAGTCCATGGTTATGTTTGTTTGGCAGTTCATCATCATAGAACTATCCCTGCTAAGTCTACAAAATTCTAATTGTTGCTCAAATAAGCCCTCACAACCTATTGCTGCACCTACAGCCCTTGGACTCTGTATTACAAGACCAAATGACATGGCAGGTTTACTATTTCAAGGTAATTTGGTACAGGCTAAGTGAGGCACTAGTCAAACTTGTTCAAATATTAGTTCAAATCCAGTTTTGTGTTCTCTCACATGAGAAGGCAAAAATCCATACAGATAACAGTTGAATATCAAGCAAAAACCCACAGCTTGTTCCTTGGCTTTCCAAATCTGAAACCCATTATCTAGAGATCCACCACTTACTAGCACACATACCAGAGTGCAGCCTGAGCAGATGGTTCAAAGCTAACTGTCAATCTGTTTGCAGTTCAAAACAGTGGTGAACTCCTCCAGCTGTTTTCCAGATCAAAAATATGATTGTCATTTTGCTATCGCTGCGTGCTGAGGGTTATGTAACAAAAATGCACATGTCCCTCTGCCTGGAATGCAACTAATTTCCTCCCTCCCCACTGAGAGTGGTAACTAACAATTCAGACAGTCTGGATGCTTCAGTTTTGAGCACGGCCAGGGATGCAACCATGTGGTAACCCACTACTTGTAACAGTTTCTGGAGGTCTTACAGAGAGGGGATACCTTGCAGTTTGGAAAAAAAAGAAAAAAAAATAAACATGATCATCCTGTTTATACGTGGACCTCTTGCTGTCTGTAGGGTACTGTGAATGCCTTGCTGTAGATCTTTAGTTTAACCATAGGCTCTACTTTATGTTGGAATTTTAAGTATTCTAAATAAGTGTGCTAACTAGATGAAGTAATTGTTTCCAAAATGAAATTAGCCACTATACTGGCTGTGTACTTTGGTATGCAGAAATAAAGCATTGTACACTATTAACTTTAAAACAGTGGCATGAGCCTATCTTAATTTACAAATATCCAAACATCATGCAGGCAGTTAAATCCAGCCTCCAGAAAGCTTAACCACTTCATTCAATTTGCTCATATCAAGAGAACAACCCCTTTGCCTAGAAAGTGCACTCAAGAAACAAAACAAATGCAATTTCCTCAATGCAATCTTTAATGCAATGTGTCTTTCATCTTTGCAAGTGCAGCTAACCCAGGGTATTTATATGCCAACTATAAGGACTTCAGGACAGGAGCTGTGTTTCTATAAATGTTTGCACCTACTTACCATCTCTCAGTTGTTCCTGTGATATGAACACAACAGGGTGACCAACTCTAAACTAGGGCGTCTACTGAGATGAAACATTAACTTAGTACTTAACTACAGCAATTTCCCTTCGTGTGTTATTACCTGATTCAGCTTGTTCTGGATTTCTGGCACAGTTTACAGCTAACTTCTGTAGCAGCACCTGCAGTGGTTTTATGATTCTTACCTGGTTAAATAGGCCAGAGCCAGCTCAGATCCTGATGGCTTTTTAGGTTCCACCTTTTTAGTAGAGATCCCAGCTTCCCTCATCAGCTGTTTTTCCTTCTTCTTACGTTCTTTTTTCAATTTTCTTTCCAGTTTCCTCCTTTCTTCTGCAGTAAGTTCTTCCTCTTCTTCTGTAGACTGAAACAATTCACATTTAATAAAGTGTTTATATTTCTGGAGAAAAGTGAACAAAATATGCACAAACGCAACTGAAGGGCACAAGTAAATTTTAAGACCAGAAGTTTTAAGCTTCATAATTTTATTGTTGACTGTATTTCAGTCACCTCCCTAGTCAATTCACAGAGCTGTAAATACTGCACTTGCAGTAATCTGCAGAACTGCCCTCTCTAGTTGATAATACCTTTCTCAGCAGTAATCTGAGCACCTTCTAGCTCATATCTAAAAGCATCATATCTACAATTTGTTGTGCTGTTTGTTCTCCTATACTCAAACTAGAGGGGAAAATGTGAACAGCAGAGGCTGTTTTATAGTGGAGAAAAGGTTTGGATTTTTAAATTTTTTTTATTATTTTTTTTTTTAGCATATGCACATTTAATGGGAGAAGGAGGGTTTCCTTAAGATCCTTAATTCTGGGGACTATTTGTTCTATAACCTCACACTTCCTTGGTCTGACAAAACCTGTCTGCTGCACAGCAGCTTCATCTCCATTATGCTAAATGAGATTTTCATCCAATGACTTTCATCCAAGACCTCTTGGAAATCTTTTAGCAATCTCAAATCAACATTTGCATGATTTGCAATCCACATTTACACATACAGCTCACAAAGGGCATCCAAACCCCTGTGTACTTCAGGACAGAGGAAGGCTTTGAACACTATGAAGCCATCTCTGCTGTGCAACTTCTCAATTAAAACTGAGCAATGAAGAAAGTATGAAATTCTGCAAACAAGACTCTTACACCGTATTGGTCTTGTTTTTAGATATTTCCAAGTCCAGGAGTGAAGAGGTGGTGCTAATTCTTAGCTTATATGATAGCTACAGATCTCACACTGTCCCAAACAGAACTTGTTGTCATCACAGTTTAAGGAACTGGTGCTGCTTAACCACTTCCACAAGTCAGGCACTGGGATAAAATGCAGGCTAAAGTTATGCACAAGGACCATTTCAAAATCACCAGCTCTTCCAAGCTAAGAAATCCAGTAGTAAAAATACTAGAAGTATTAGTTCTTATGATGAGCTCAGGGTTTTTAGCCCATTTGCTGTGCTGTCCTACTTCCCTACTATCATCCAGACATGATGCTAATTTCCATCATTCTTGCTGGCAATTCAAGCAAAGGGTGGCTAAACAAGGAATACCTGAACGCAATCTTAATTACCAAAGACACCTACTGAAGACTAAACATTTGTTCAGTGTCAAATCATGTTTCATCTAAGTTTACTCTGATTCATATTTTCATCTATTTACAAAGACCAAAAAGGGGCAAGAAAGCAGAAATTAGAATAAATGGGAGTGAGGCAGTAAAGAGGATAGGCTTGGGTTTTTTTGTTTGTTTACTTTTAAGCTGTTTTTATGGAAAAGCCAGCATTCCTGTGCAAACACATGCAAAAAAGCAGCATATGTTGCATTTGTATAGATGTTTTATAACTCATGCTGAGAATAAAATAATATTTAGGGTGAAGGTAGGTACGTAATCGTTATACAGGAAACAACGTTTTCATTTGAAAAAGCCACCCTGGTACTTACTACAATAACAATCCAGCCACACAAAGCCCAGGAAAACACTGAGGGTGGTCATTTATAGAGTGTTTGTAAAAGATCACTACAGCAGCTGTCCAACAGACGACACACTACAGTTAATCTTCTTTTAAAAATAATGTAATGAATTTGTTTACTTTTCTGTGAGCCATGAAGCTTTCAAATAAAGTGACTGTGGCACATCATTAGAGCCCGCCTGATAAAGAGGCCTCTGCTTCTTCATACTTACAGTAAATGCATATCTCTCTACCTTCCCTTCCCCCCACATTCCTTGCATTATCAAAAAGCTTTTTATCCCCCTCCTTGGCGGCTCCATTAAAAACAAAACAAGTTGCTCTCTCCTTGGGAGTCCCAATGGAAATACCAAGCCCTAACAACATTTGTTTCCAGCATCACCATTGATGCACCATGGGCAACCTGAAACAAGGGCTCTGTTCTTCCTACAGGGCTGCTGCTGTTCTGGGAGTGAAAGACTCAGGATTTACAGCTGGAGGTACCTTCTGCTGGCCCACAGCATCATCCAAGGAAAATCAGATCCATCAGGCTTCTGTTTGGGATGCCCAGGACACATGCTGCAAAAGTGCTTGCAACTTTACAGCTCAAACTACTTTTCTAGTTGCAACTCTACTTTTATCCATCCACATCAACATCCTTAATCTAGTTGTAGTACCACAACCTGCCTGCGATTGTTTTTTTCTGTTGAAAACCTCAGGTTCTGTTTGTTTCATAAAATACCTACATTTGGTGGGTATTCTTCACTGAAGCTGAGGACAGTTTTATTGCAATTTTAGAAAAAAATACCCCAACACAATCAAAACCAACCTTCCCCAAAACCTGGGACTCAAAAGAAAACAAACCCAAACCTTTCACTGGAATTTAAAGCCTAGCTGTATTTATTTTAACTCAGATGATCTGTTATGATACTCTACTGATGGACCTCTTCTTCCTTTAAATCAACAACTTTATTTTTCATTTCTTTTCCCCCTGAACCATTAGTGTCACCATTGTTTCTGAAAGATACGTCCAAAGTTTGTGAGGCATTTGAATTAAGAGTTTTAGTATTATGTCACTACTTACATTTTAAAAACCTAACCAACAGAACTTCATTGTTTGGAGGTCATAAATATTCCATGTTGTCTCCTTCTATATTTACAAAGTGACATCACAATTTGTAGTGCCACAATTTAGTCTTGACTACAACATTGTAAAGTCCACATTTGAGCATGTCAGACACTTGTTTATTGATGTGATAAATTTAAACCACATGCATACAGGAAAACACAACACTTGCTTATTTGCAAAGCCTGCTGAGAGCTACCACACCACCTTGGATTGTAGGCTCATTAGATCTCAATCTAAACAAGGTCAGGCTAGGTCAGTACACTTGAATGAATGACATTCAGAGCAGAGCCAGTGGCTTCTCATGATTAAGGAGGTGGGAGTCTTCCACTTGGAAACTTTCCAGAAGGCCTGAAAAGGTGCTAAAAGGGATATTGCCACTGGATGCCATATTTTCAATAAAAGACAGACCCCCAAATCTTTAACACTTACACTCATAAAAATCCATCTCATCCTGGCAAGGGCATGGAGATGTGAGCTCAGACATCTTCAAGCAAAGACCAAAGGTCACACTGTAGTGTGTCTATCTGCATGCAAAATCTGTGACTGCCAATACAGCACCTTTCAGCTGTACTGTATTCCTGAATTGTGTGTAAACACAGTAATATACTGTAAGTGGGCTGAAGCATCTCATTCAAAATATCTGGAGGGTTTGGTTGCAGCAGCTTTAGATACCACTGAAAGTTTTCCATTATTCTTTGTAATCTGGGAGTATTGCACAACTTTAAAACCTTTTGCAAGTCTTTAGAAATCATAAAAGGGAAGCCATCTCAAACCAAAGTAAAGCATCTATTAAAGCAGTGTTGCTAAGCAATTTAGAACAGAGAAAAATAACTATAACTACAAGAGAAACTGGAAAGGGCAGAAAGATGTACAAAAGCAGGATTTCTTGAAGGTATCTGACCCTTTTTTTCTGCAGCAAGAGTGGCAAAACCAAACAGGTTTAGTTTTTCAGAGACTGCATCTGCATTAAAACTGCCAGAGGACTGTGAACAATGATAGCTGTGCAGCCAGAACCAAGGCAGTACTAGCAGCAAACTAATTGTATTGTGTTTCAGCAGAGCAGTAAGTACATTTTTTAATTTGCTTCCAGATTTAGTTAACCAAAGGTTCTTGATTGCCTCATGCTTGAGTGGAGTTGAAGACACCTTCTAAAGATTCTGTTCCTCCTCCTCACTCATCACTGTTTCAAAGACACATTTGCATCCCTAGTTGTCTGTTGCCAGGATAGAATAAGGTTGACAAAGAGTCATAAGCTCTGAAGAGTTGCCACAATGAGCCCAATACTCATTTATTACAAATTTGCCTTTGGGATTTGCTTGTGTAGTTCTGAACTTTCCGCCTGTTCAGGGGTTCAGCTTTGCTGCCAAACCTATAGCAGTAACCACAGTCCAAGCCGCAGCTCCAATTTTACTATTTATTAGTGCCAGTGGATCCAGTTCTGCCAAAAGCCAATAGACTTTTAACCTTTTCTACTACCAGAGCAACACAAATCTGTACAACAGCAAAGCAAGTAACACCAGAGATTCAGAGGAACAGATGATAATTTGACAAACAGCAACAAACGCATAAAGAGGGTGTCAGATTTTTGAAACCCAAAGAGAAGGATGGGGAAATGGATGATACAGCTTGTTTCATAGTAGGAGCATTGTATTGTCTTGTTTGTTCATTAAGCTCATGTTATTTCATAACTTTGAATACAGAGAAATGTCAAAGGGGACTTTGTTCACTGACCAACAACTGACGAGCAGCTACCGACCTGTCATGTCACAGCTTCTGCTCACAAGCAGCCTTTTGCCCCAGAAATGCTCCATGCATGATATCAGCATGCAAAATGTTCTGTTTCTGTCTTACACAATACATATGAACCCAGATAAATAACTGGCCATCTGCCAGCTTAAAAACAAAAAGCAGAATCTATAAACACAGTTCAAAACTTACAAAGAAGAAAGACTGGCAAATCCTTAGATGCAAGGTTCATAAAAGACTGACAAATGATTTACTGTCTGAGGCTTGCCAAAGAACTGTGCCCCAACTACAGCTATAGAATTGGAATAAAATAGATCATGGCCATATTGAATTTAAATAACTATTTTCAGTCATTTAGCACCTTATGAAAAGAAGTATGACCAGACAGGGCATATGATATTTCCTTACCACGCAGAAAGCAAATTTTGAATGAAAAGTAGCATTTGCAGAAGTACACCTCCTTACATCATGCCTGTAGCACTTGCAGAGAAAGATTTTCCTTTAAAGCATACATTGCTGAAAGAAAAAATAAGTGTTCAAAAAAGCTAGGTG